TTGAACAAACTTGAATCTACACTACCTGAGGATGATTCCACTTGAGTTTCATCTTTCCTGGCCCAGTGGTTCTTAAGAAGAAGATTTTTGAAGATTTTTCCTATATATTCCTATGTTAAACTTTGGTCGGCCATTTTGGCCCCACCCTAGCCCCGGGGGTCATGATTTGAACAAACTAGAATCTACACTACCTGAGGATGATTCCCACATGAGTTTCATCTTTCCTGGCCCAGTGGTTCTTGAGAAGAAAATTTTTGAAGATTTTTCCTATATATTCCTGTGTTAAACTTTGGTCGGCCATTTTGGCCCCACCCTAGCCCCGGGGGTCATGATTTGAACAAATTTGAATCTACACTACCTGAGGATGATTCCACTTGAGTTCATCTTTCATGGCCCAGTGGTTCTTGAGAAGAAGATTTTTAAAGATTTTTCCTATATATTCCTATGTAAAAATTTAGTCAGCCATTTTGGCCCCACCCTAGCCCCGGGGGTCATGATTTGAACAAATTTGAATCTACACTACCTGAGGATGATTCCACTCGAGTTTCATCTTTCATGGCCCAGTGGTTCTTGAGAAGAAGATTTTTAAAGATTTTTCCTATATATTCCTATGTAAAAATTTAGTCGACCAGTTTGGCCCCACCCTAGCCCCAGGGGTCATGATTTGAACAAACTTGAATCTACACTACCTGAGGATGATTCCACTTGAGTTTCATCTTTCCTGGCTTAGTGGTTCTTGAGAAGAAGATTTTTGAAGATTTTTCCTATATATTCCAATGTAAAACTTTGGTCGGCCATTTTGGCCCCACCCTAGCCCCGGGGGTCATGATTTGAAGAAACTTGAATCTCCTCTACCTGAGGATGATTCCACATGAGTTTCATCTTTCCTGGCCCAGTGGTTCTTGAGAAGAAGATTTTTTAACAATGCCATTAATTTTTCTCTAATTCATTATTATCTCCCCTTGGAAAAGGGCGTGGCCCTTCATTTGAACAAACTTGAATTCCCTTTACCCAAGGATACTTTGTGGCAAGTTTGGCTGAAATTGGCCCAGTGGTTCTTGAGAAGAAGGTGAAAATGTGAAAAGTTAACGACAACAACGGCGACGACAACAACGACGACGACGACAGACAACGGACAAATTTTGATCAGAAAAGCTCACTTGAGCCTTTGGCTCAGGTAAGCTAAAAAGTAGGTCACCGTGACCTACTTTTGTATTAACATGATGTCAAGTCCTGAGATGCATCAACTTACAAGATTTGATGATCCTAGTCTTTATAGTAAGCAAAATATCAACGTTTTTAATAAGTGTAAATTTTGGTCAACTTTGAAGTGACCTTGAGAACACGCCCTTTGCCCCAGGGTCATGCCTTGAACAATTTTTAATCTTCAACATATCTCGATCCTTGTATGTAACTTTGGTGAAAATCTGCTTGGTGGTTCTGGAAAAGAAGATTTTTTAGCAACCAGTACTTTTGGTTTTATTTTCATGATTACCTCCCCTTGTTTTAGGGTCTCGCCCCTAATTTTAGTACAAATGGTAGCCCTTGGGCCAAGGATACCCTGTGACAAATTTGACAATAATTGGCCAAGGGGTTCTTGAGTTATGGCCCATATTCTAAAAAGTTAACGCACACCGCACAAATGGCCATAGGATTAGCTCTTTGAGCCTTTGGCTCAGAAGAGCTAATAATCGTTTCTGGTTTCATAAATAAAATTCTGATGAAAAACGATCATTGTTTATGTTTTATTGCCATCGCATGCCAAATATTCCTCCATTTTGAACTACTGTCGCCTAAATCATCAACAAACTGCATGTCACTTAAATTAAGACATAGATATATATAAAATCATGGTTACTGTCTTGAAATATAAGCAATATTTGGGCAAAGGTAAGAAAATGTAAACGTTTTCAACCGGAGCCCAAATATCGCTTATATTTCAAGACAGTCATCATATATTTTGTTTATCCTGCAACATATTTTTTTTTTACAAAAATAGCTATTTTCGACAGATTTAGGCACATCTCTGCAGTTAAAACTATGATGCCATGGCGTAAACATTGCAATATACGTGACGTCACAATGCTTTTAGAACGTCAGAATAGATAAATGAGGCTTTATTAGGGCATTGACCGAATAAAGCTTTGGTTTATTAGGTTACCTTAATTGGTCAATGCAAGGGGTAGTTGCAGGATAAATTTAATTATAATAAATACCAATGATCAGAAAAGCTCACTTGAGCCTTCGGCTCAGGTGAGCTAAAACTATTAAAACGGATGAATTAATTCTTTTTTCTCATTAACAGTGACTTGCAAATATTTTTTTAAAGTTTTGATTTTCAGATTTAACATGGTAAAATATTGCTTCTGGACATTTATGCTCTTAGCAATTATCATTTACAAATTATATGTTGAGGATACATACCACAAACAAATTTTCTTATCTTCCGCATAGAAGAGTTACACAACATTTTTTCCAGAATTTGCACTGTTTGGTTCTAATCTTATAAAAGCGTTTAAGAAAGATGTTTGAAGGGAAAACAGGATCAGCAAGATATCAATATAGTTAAAGTTGACAAAATGACAAGAGGCCCACAGGCCTTATAGGTCACCTGAGTATCATGAAACAAATTTCCAAAAATTGAATATGGTTTGTGTTTTAAACCAGATGCCATGAAATTCACAATTTTGACTGAGGCACCACTTAGAATGCTTACTCTAGTTTCTTAATACCCAGTGTTAGATCATAGTAAGAAAGAGAAAATGCATTTTCACTTTATAACCAGTCGTGCACCCCACCTCACAAGAACCACTGACCCTGGGGCCACATATTTCAAAATTTTGGAAATTTTATCATAAATTATATTTCATCATAAATGGTTGGTTAATACCACAGAGCAGATTTCAAAGCATTTATTTATCTTCAGACTATGTGCTGTTACCCCCCCCCCCCCCCCCCCCCCCCCGCGGTTATACCCCGACCTAGAGAATATGAAATTAATTATTTTGCTAGATGCACCTTTCTTTATCATAAATATATGTACTAAGATCATTGGCATAATACCTAGGAGCAATGATAAAAATTTTTCAAAGAATTCATGCATTTTCACTATAAATAATCATTAGAGCCCCACCCTAACACCAGAACCCCTGACCCAGGGGCCATGAAATTCAGTTTTGGAAGAGGCATCCTTCTTCATCTTAACTACGTACATGTACATAGTTCATTGGTTTAATAGGAGCAGAGAAGAAGATTTTTGAAGAAACAATGTATTTTCACTATATAATCAATAATATAAAGCCTCACCCTAATATCACAACCCCCAACCCAGGGGCCACAAAATTCACAATTTTGGAAGAAACACTCTTGCTCATCATAACTATATACTTACTTAGTTTGTTTAATACCCATGAGCAAAGAAGATTTTTAAAGAATTCATGCATTTTCACTATATAATCAAAAGAGTTCCCTCCTTACACCAAAACCCCTGACCAGGGGCCATGACATTCACAAATTTGGAAGAGGCATCTTTCCTCATCATTACTATGTACATAGTTTATTGGTTAAATACCCAGGAGCAGAGAAGATTTATGAAGAATTAATGCATTTTCACTATATAATCAATAGAGCCCCGCCATTACACCAGAAACCCTGACCCTGGGGCCATAAAATTCACAATTTTGGAGGATGCACTCTGACTTGTTAATCATAACTATGTACTTAGCTTGTTTAATACCGAGGACCAGAGAAGAAGATTTTCAAAGAATTAATGTTTTTTTTACTATACAATCAATGGAGCCTTGCCCTAACATCAGAACTGCTGACCCAGGGGCCATAAAATCCACAATTTTTGAAGAGGCACTCTTGGTCATCATAACTATGTTCTTAGTTTACCTAATACCCAGGAGCAGAGAAGAAGATTTTCAAAGAAATAATGCACTTTTAATTTACTATATGATCTATATAGCCCCGGCGTAACACCAGAACCCCTGACCCGGGGGCCATAAATTTCACAATTTTGGTAGAGGACTCAATGCTGATTACAATCATGCCAACAGTTTGACTGCTTGATGTCCAGGAGTAAAGAAGAAGATTTTTAAAGATTGCACTTATTTTAGTGGTTTTGGCCCCACCCCTCAGGCCCCAGGGGGGCAGGGACCATGAAATTCAAAATTTTTGTTTCCCATCACCCATAGATGCTGTATACCAAATTTGATTGAAATTGGTTTAGAGGTTCCAGAGAAGAAGCTAAAAATGTTCAAAAGTTTACGGACGACGAACGACAATGATGAACGAAAACGGATAGCAATAGGTCACCTGAATTTACTCAGGTGACCTTATAATATTTGTTCAGACAATGTTCCTGCAACCATTAGAGGGAACATCTCTTTCCGGACCTTGTTCAATAAATGTCATTTTACTGTGTAAATGTTTTTTTCTCGTTTTATTAGTGTCGAAAGGGTACCTAATTCCTTGTTTCTTCAAAAGTAATACCACTGTAAAGACTCCATAAAAAATATTAACATATTTTAGGATTGTTTGTAAACTTTTTACATTAATTTTCATCTTTTTTTTAATATTGATTACTTTTGATAAACAATAAGAAAAAAAAATTGTCTTCCATAAAATATTTGACCCAGGATAATGATCTGCATACCTTTATCAATATAAGTTATTCATAAAGATGGCAGAAAATAAATTAGAAACTTTAAAAAAAAAATATTGAATTAGAAACATACATTTTCCAACTTTCCCCCAAATTTTGGTGAATCGTTCAATCATAAAATTGTTAGATGGTCGAATATTTCTTCTTTAATGAGATGGGCTTTAGAATACATAAAAATAATTCACTTTCTGGAGAAAAAGTTTGTTTGTGTTATTTATCCTTAACTTCATTAAGTATAGGCCTAAGTTTCTTATCATTTAATTCTCCTATGACCTGATTACATGATTAAAGAGTAATAAAACGACAAATAGTTTCAAACCACAGTAACACTTACAACTAATTTTCAAAGGATTTCCATCATCTTTGATTTTATAGTCAAGTTCTGCACTTCCATAAGAGTTTACCATTGTAAACTTTACCAAACGTTTTGGTTGATTATTGGATTGACCTTTACTTTCCATTTCTTCAGTAGATGTTTCACTGCTACATTCCAAGTTCAAATCCTTGCTTGATGACAGTGCACAAGACACTGGTGTTGAAATTTCCATTTCTGAAAAAAGGAGATATGAGGTTTTATTAATACAAGAATTGTGCATTAAATTGTGGACAAAGCATCTTCTTGAGAAATAATGAGCACTGTGGCAACACACTTTTAGAAAATTACGCACTTGAAATTTTTTTTTCAAAGTGCGTTAAAATTGGTGTGTTAAGAGTACGTACATAAACTTTTTTTACCATGTGGAGTTTTAACTTACTTTGAAAAATAAAATATGTATAAAACAAAAATTATAGAGTGACTTAGATTTTAGTAATTGAGAGAATTTATTTGTAATAATTATATTTTTCAAAAAAACGTTTTAATTTACATGTATTGATTTACTTTGAGAACAAGAAGATGAGTACAGTAAAACTCGGTTATAACGAAGTCACTGGGACCTATGAAATTACTTCGTTATATCCGTAATTTGTTATAACTGTTTAAGAAATTCATTAAATTTATGTAGCTGGGTATCCAAGATGACTTCGCTATATCCGTAAATTCGCAATATCCGTGTTCGTTCTAAACGAGTTTTGCTGTATATAGAAGGTCTCGCAGTCAACCTCTTTTTTCTTATACATAACTGTCGGTAGCAAATTGAAAGTGTTCCCCCAAGGTAAGCCCCAATTTTTAATGTCATTATGTATATCTTTGCAAAACATTTGTGTGTAGACCCCTCCCCCATGTTACCAATGCCTATGCTACACCCAGATAAATGTATTTGCATAAGTGGTATGACGATGAAAACTTTCAATACCGGTAAATTTTAGTTTACATTAAATGCATACCATGCAAACTGGAAAAAATAAAATACAGTAACACATTTAAGAGTCAAAATCAGCAAGCATCGAGCATTTAGTTAAAAAATGTGGAAAGTGGCATTATAAGAAACAGATTTGGTTAAAACTCATTTATAAATTTTCAGAACAAAGGGTATGATAGAAAAAGGCAAGCAAAAAAAATTTTTTCGCATTGTTGCTATGGAAACCACGCGCCTTTCAAATAGCGTGTTTTGTACTTTATCATGACACTTGAAGTTATGGTTAAACAAATACTTTTTTATTACTAGTCATTAAACAAGAGGCCCATGGGCCACATCGCTCACCTGAGCACTAAGGTTAGGAAAAAGTAGAAAATGGCTTTTTATTGTAAAGTTTAAATCCAAAAGTAGTCCAATGACCAATCATGGATTTGATATTTTTTAGAAAATGATTTTTAAAGAATTTTCCTATATATTTTTACAAGAGGCCCATGGGCCACATCCCTCACCTGAGCACTAAGGGTAGGAAAAAGTAGAAAATGGCTTTTAAAAGTAGTCCCATGACCAATCATGGATTTGCTAATTTTTAGAAAATGATTTTTTAAGAATTTTCCTACATATATCTTTAAAAACTTTGGTCGGCCAATTTGGCCCCGCCTACCCCTGGGGGTCATGATTTGAACCTGAGAATGCTTCCATATAAATATGATCAATTATGGCTTTGTCATTCTTGAGAAGATTTTTAAAGAATTTTCCTATATATTTCTATGTAAAACTTTGGTCAGCCATTTTGGCCACGCCCTACCCCCGGGGGTCATGATTTGAACAAACTTGAATCTACACTACCTGAGCATGCTTCCATATAAATATGCTCAATTATGGCTTTGCCATTCTTGAGAAGAAGATTTTTAAAGAATTTTCCTATATATTTCTATGTAAAACTTTGGTCAGCCATTTTGGCCACGCCCTACCCCCGGGGGTCATGATTTTAACAAACTTAAATCTTCAGTACCTCAGCATGCTTCCATATAAATATGATCAATTATGGCTTTGCCATTCTTGAGAAGAAGATTTTTAAAGAATTTCCTATATATTTCTATGTAAAACTTTGGTCGGCCATTTTGGCCGAGCCCTATCCCCGGGGGTCATGATTTGAACAAACTTGAATCTACACTACCTGAGCATGCTTCCATATAAATATGATCAATTATGGCTTTGTCATTCTTAAGGAGAAGATTTTTAAAGAATTTTCCTATATATTTCTATGTAAAACTTTGGTCGGCCATTTTGGCCACACCCTACCCCCGAGGGTCATGATTTGAACAAACTTGATTCTATACTACTTGAACATGTTTCCATATAAATAAGATCAATTACGGCTTTGTCAAACTTGAGAAGAAGATTTTTAAAGAATTTTCCTATATATTTCTATGTAAAACTTTGGTCGGCCATTTTGGCCACGCCCTACCCCAGGGGGTCATGATTTGAACAAACTTGAATCTACACTACCTGAGCATGCTTCCATATAAATATGATCAATTATGGCTTTGCCATTCTTGAGAAGAAGATTTTTAAAGAATTTTCCTATATAATTCTATGTCAAACTTTGGTCGTCCATTTTGGCCACGCCCTACCCCCAGGGGTCATGATTTTAACAAACTTGAATTTACACTACCTGAGTATGCTTCCATATAAATATGATCAATTATGGCTTTGCCATTCTTGAGAAGAAGATTTTTAAAGAATTTTCCTATATATTTCTATGTAAAACTTTGGTCGGCCATTTTGGCCGAGCCCTATCCCCGGGGGTCATGATTTGAACAAACTTGAATCTACACTACCTGAGCATGCTTCCATATAAATATGATCAATTATGGCTTTGTCATTCTTAAGGAGAAGATTTTTAAAGAATTTTCCTATATATTTCTATGTAAAACTTTGGTCGGCCATTTTGGCCACGCCCTACCCCCGAGGGTCATGATTTGAACAAACTTGAATCTATACTACTTGAACATGCTTCCATATAAATAAGATCAATTATGACTTTGTCATTCTTGAGAAGAAGATTTTTAAAGAATTTTCCTATATATTTCTATGTAAAACTTTGGTCGGCCATTTTGGCCACGCCCTACCCCAGGGGGTCATGATTTGAACAAACTTGAATCTACACTACCTGAGCATGCTTCCATATAAATATGATCAATTATGGCTTTGCCATTCTTGAGAAGAAGATTTTTAAAGAATTTTCCTATATATTTCTATGTAAAACTTTGGTCGGCCATTTTGGCCACGCCCTACCCCAGGGGGTCATGATTTGAACAAACTTGAATCTACACTACCTGATCATGCTTCCATATAAATATGATCAAGTATGGCTTTGCCATTCTTGAGAAGAAGATTTTTAAAGAATTTTCCTATATATTACTATGTAAAACTTTGGTCGGCCATTTTGGCCACGCCCTACCCCCGGGGGTCATGATTTGAACAAACTTGAATCTACACTACCTGAGGATGTTTCCCCATAAGTTTCATCTTTCCTGGCACAGTGGTTCTTGAGAAGAAGATTTTTAAAATATGCCACCAAATTTTCATTAATTCCCAATTATCTCCCCTTGAATAAGGGCGTGGCCCTTCATTTGAACAAACTTGAATCCCCTTCACCCAAGGATACTTTGTGGCAAGTTTGGTTGAAATTGGCCCAGCAGTTCTTGAGAAGAAGTCGAAAATGTGAAAAGTTTACAGACAGACGGACAGACAGACGGACGCCGGACAAAAAGTAATCAGAAAAGCTCACTTGAGCTTTCAGCTCAGGTGAGCTAAAAAGGCTTTTTAAATTATTATTTTATTTATATAAATATACTCCATTTTATCAACTGTTGATTATTGAAATTCTCTTCACCTTTTGATAAATAAACTAGTTTTTGGAGGTTTATTTTGCTTTAAAAAACAGCAAATTTGAAGTACTCTATAAGAAATCTACAACCACATTAAAGCTTATCAACATAAAATATATATTAAACAGTATTTGTTCTAGAAGAATCAAGAAAAAAATCTGCAGGCAACTAAAGCATTTATATATGATAACTGATTCAAATCCATAATTTTCTGCCACTTTTGCTTCAAATTACCTCCCTTTGGTATAGCTCTCTAACGTAGGAGGAATAAACGGTAGTTTGCTTACATTGTTTTCAACAACAGTGTACAGAAGACTAGCAGAAAATTACAAACTTGTTGCAGCCTGAGCCTCAGTTTTGGCGTTTTCATGAGTCTTAATTACTGTGAGCGACTGAAATTTTTACAATTTACCATTACAACAGTTACAGAAGAATGTATAGCATAAATTAGCCATGCAGTAAAATATGTAACACTTGGCAGATGTTTTTGCACATTTCAATTTAATTCTGATTGACTACTAGTATATATGTTAAGACCGCGGAATATTAACTGGCAAAATTGGAAATATACAGCTTATTTCATTTCTATCTGTTACAATCAAAACACTCAGTGATAGACAATGAAATGGGCGTGTACAATTCGACGCGGACGTTTGGAAAACATGGGATTGCAGATCGAATTCATTTTCAATCCACCTCAGCTACGTTAGAAGGCACATTATTACTGATTGACCCAGAAGACAAATAATTTCAATTTTGGTACAGTTTGAATTTCAGGCACGGATCCAGAAATTTTTTCCAGGGGGGGTCCACCCATTTCAAAAAAAAAATTATTGACAAGCAAAAAAAAAAAAAAAAAAAAAACGTTAACTCACCCAAACGTGAAAAACCTATTTCGTGGGGGATGGGGGGGGGGGGGGGGGGGGTAGTGAAAAACTTCTATTGCTGCCTCAAATCTCTCACATTTCATACCCATTTCAAACATATACATGTTCACCAGGGGGGGTCTGCGTTTTCCAGGGGGGGTCCAAGGTGACTTTTCTCATGCTTTAGTATATACATTTTTTAACCGTGGAAATTCCAGGGGGGCGGGGGGTCCTGACCCCCCGACCCCCCCTCTAGATCCGTGCATGAATTTTTTTTGTCCAATGTTTTTAATTGAATAAATATTTAAGTGACAAATATTTCATTTTTTTTTTATTTTTTCATTTTTTTTTCTTCATTATTTCCCCAATCTTTTATTGTTATATTTCCCAAATTTGTATTTATATTTGTTATTTGTTACTGCACCTGTACTTATTCTTTAATTATCTTCTACGTTAATTCAATCACCTTCCATTGTTCATCTTTTTTTTCTT